AACTTCCACCTCCGCAACATCGTGCAGAGGTTCATGGACGCTCCCGCGCGCAAAGAGGAGGAGAAGCAGGAAGGGCAAGGCAAGGGGAAGGCGAAGTGCTCGGGCCAGGCCGCGGAGGTGGTGCTGTGTGATTTCTGCCTCCAGGAGCCGCAGCCCGCAGTGAAGACGTGCCTGAGCTGCGAAGCCTCGCTGTGCCAAGCGCACCTGAGCAAGCACAACAGTAAGAACGAGCAGAAGAGCCATGTGCTGGTGGAGCCCTGTGATGGCCGGCTTCTGGCTGAGAGGAGATGCCCCCAGCACGGCAAACTGCTGGAGTGCTTCTGTGAGAATGACTCGGGGTGCATCTGCGTCCTGTGCTCCGTCATCTCCCACAAGAACCACAAGATCATCAGCTTGGAGGAGGCTTTCAACAAAGCCCAGGTAAGAGGCTGCTGGGACGGTGGCTCTGGTCTGGATTGCGACAGGAAAACCCCGGAGAGCTGCCATGGCACAGGGGCAGCTCCTGAGTTGGAGAAATGCAGACCCAGCATGGGGCTAAATTACAATCTTGGGCTTTTATTCTTTGTTTTGTCCCAGGTTCTCTCTGGCTTTGGCCCTTGGGATATAAAACAAGGTGTTATACACGCTTTTTTCCCCTCCTGAGGGAAGAGTTTGGCCAGACTGGCGGGACTGAGTGCTCCTGCAAGGTTTTGGTCCTTGGTGCGCCTCCAAGGCAAAGCAGAGCCTGAGCTGCACTTATGCAAAGATAATTAATGACAGAGTAACAGAAAGAAAGGTGCCAACAGGGGAAGCAGCTTGATACGTGGCTAGTGCACATGTACAGTTTTCAGCTTCAAATTGTCCTTTTTGTGCTTGTAATTGTGGCATTTGTTCAGAGATAAAACCTCCCAGTGAACCTTTATCTGCTGCTTTGTCCTGAGAGCATGCAGTGAGCAGACCTTTTGCAAGTCTAGCTTAACCCCTGTGGATAAAACTGCTGTCGATAAAACTGCTGATCTTGTGCACTATGGCAGTCCTCCCCTGATCCTCCCCGATGTCTCCTTCCCGTGATATTTGTAGGCATCGTTTCCTGGAATACTGGAATCAGTGAAAAACCATGAAGCTGCCGTGGACAAAGCCATAGCAAATCTGCTGAAACAAATGGAGAAGCTGAAGGTTTGTTTCAAGGTCCCATATCACCTGGGGGTGGTTGCTTAGTGGTAAATAATGAGATAAAGTTTTCTTTTGCCCTTCCCCAGATCATGGATTCTGAAGCTTTTTTAGTTCCTGGGTGGTTTCTCATATATTTTTGAGATTTCTCCTTTGAGGAAGGATGATGCAGAACTTTCTTATCAGTCTGGGAGGTTCATTCTTAGTTAAGCTTGAGAGGCTGTGCCTCCTGATGAATGGCTGGTGTGTAGCTTTTTGATTTTTCCAACCTTCAGCTTTTAGTTACATGCCTCATCCCAGACAAAAAGATAGATTTTTTTTCCTGAGTAAGAGAAAATGTCCTTTACAAATTTGAAATTGTTTTCTTAATAGACTGATGAGAGCCAGCGGAGGGAACAGCTGAAAAGCCTGTTCAAGGAGATGCTGCTGATCTTGTGCACTATGGCAGTCCTCCCCTGATCCTCCCCGATGTCTCCTTCCCGTGATATTTGTAGGCATCGTTTCCTGGAATACTGGAATCAGTGAAAAACCATGAAGCTGCCGTGGACAAAGCCATAGCAAATCTGCTGAAACAAATGGAGAAGCTGAAGGTTTGTTTCAAGGTCCCATATCACCTGGGGGTGGTTGCTTAGTGGTAAATAATGAGATAAAGTTTTTCTTTTGCCCTTCCCCAGATCATGGATTCTGAAGCTTTTTTAGTTCCTGGGTGGTTTCTCATATATTTTTGAGATTTCTCCTTTGAGGAAGGATGATGCAGAACTTTCTTATCAGTCTGGGAGGTTCATTCTTAGTTAAGCTTGAGAGGCTGTGCCTCCTGATGAATGGCTGGTGTGTAGCTTTTTGATTTTTCCAACCTTCAGCTTTTAGTTACATGCCTCATCCCAGACAAAAAGATAGATTTTTTTCCTGAGTAAGAGCTAATGTGGAAAATGTCCTTTACAAATTTGAAATTGTTTTCTTAATAGACTGATGAGAGCCAGCGGAGGGAACAGCTGAAAAGCCTGTTCAAGGAGATGCATAAGGAGCTCGAGAAGAAAAAAGGGGAGGTCCTGAAAGTTCTCAGTTACTACGAGGGGGAACAACTTTCTAAGATTCAGACAGAGATTAGTAATCATAAGAGGATGAAGGATTCAGCCAGCCAGGATGTTCGGGAGCTGGAGGCTCTGAGAAATCAGAAGGACACACTGCTTTTCACCAAGGTACCTGTCAGCATCCCCCTTCCCAGAGACACAGAGCTCCAGGGCTGGCCTGTGCCTGCACTGTGCTAATTCTGCTCTCAAAATGTCTTTACAGGCTTTTTCAGCGATCAAAGGCAGGTAAGCTCTTGCTGAGGTTTAGTATCTTTATTTCTGCCGTGGACGAGGGACGGAGCGCGCTGTCCGTGAGTTCACACACAGCCCAAGGCAGGCAGGAGTGGGGCTGTGCTGGAGGGCAGGAAGCTCTGCAGAGGGATCAGGACAGGTGGGATCCATGGGCCAAGGGCTGCAGTGGGAGGTTCAGTGAGGCAAAGGGCCAGGTCCTGCACTGTGGTCACAACAATCTCATGCAGCTCCAGGCTGTGGGACAGCGACAGGAAAGCTGCCTGGCAGGAAAGGAACTGGGAATGCTGTTCAGTGTTGGGAGGAGAGGGAACGGCCTCAGGCTGGGCCAGGGCAGGCTCAGGGTGGGCACAGCCGGAATTTCCCCATGGAAAGGGTGCTCAGGCACTGGAACTGCCCAGGGAGCTTTGGAGTGCCCATCCCTGGTGGTGTCCCAACAAGGGCTGGAGGTGGCACTCGGGGCTCTTGGGTGGAGACAAGGTGGGCGTTGGGAACAGCTTGGACTCGTTGGCCTTGGAGGTCTTTTCCTGCCTCTGTGATTCTGTGGTTCTGTGATTCCTTCTGTGTGTTTTAGGAAATGCCAGCCACATCCTAGCATGGATGGTGTTATAGTGCCAAAGCCACCCATTACTTTGGATAAACCAAAAACAGATAATATTCTGAGCCTTTTCCAGAAATTCATCTTAAACATGGAGGTCTCCTTTAAGCAGCCTTGTATATATGGAACAGCACCTAATGGTAAGTGCTCATTTCATCATGTCAAAAGCAAGATGGGGAAGTCAATAAAACTTGCTGTAAGAAAGGACTGTAATGAGGCACCAATTCCACTGAGTATCTCTAGAAGTGCTAATTTCTTACACTGTATGCTTATTTGCACATGTGTGTGCAGCAAAGGGAGCTGGTCCTGGCGTTCAGGGCTTTGGGGCATGCCTTGAATGCACCTTGCTAAACCAGGCTATGGATGAAGAGGCTGGGAAGTCCCAGGAGTTTTGTGGGAGGTTTAAGAGAAGACAGTAGAATACCTCTGTGGCATCCCTTTGATTCAAAGGGATGTTGAGAACTCATCCCAGCAGTGTCAGGGTCGGACATAAGTAACCTACTCTTCCTGTGTAAATACTTCTGCTCCTTTGCAATGCTTTGTAAGCTTAGCCTACAGTGCCAGAGCTGTGCACAGTGGGTACTTGTCTGACTGAATTGGTGAAATTAGGGTTCCCTAGGTACTGCCCTCTGGGTGTTGCTTCAGCCCTTGCTGGCAGCGGGCCTCGGGTCAGGACAGAGACAGACTCCAAATCTCCACCATAATCTGGTGATCATAATGTGTTTTTTCTCTTTAGGTCCCTTCTCATTTAGTCATGGTACAGCATACCATGGATCCACATACGGACCTGCCTTTCATTTTCCTTACAACTAGCCTAACAAAATATAAATTCAGTGGCAACCATAATGATAACAGTCATAGAAAGGAGAGAAGAGAGAGAGAAAGCCCAACCAAAACTATCAATGCACAGCACGATTGCTCCCCCATCACCTGCTCTCTGATGTGCAACCACTGTTCCTGAGCAGCAATTGGCTCCTTGTGGCCATCTCCCCCCAATTCATACACTGGGCATGGTGTTCTGTGGTGTGGAATATCCCTCTGGCCAGTTTGGGTCACCAGTCCCAGCTATGCTTTTTGTGCACCTCCTTGCTGGCAGAGCATGAGGCAGAGAAAGCTCCTTGGCTCATGTGTACACTGCTCAGCCAGAGCCAAACCATCGTTGTGTTACCAACATTATTCCCTGCTGAACCCAAAACTGTACCAGCTGCTGAGAAGAGAATGAATTCTCAGGAATGAACTTCTCATTATTAGAATGAATCCCAACCCAAACTAGGACAGGACTCCAACACACACAGTGCCATCCCAGAGCTGCTGGAGGAGGATACCAGCAATGAGAACTGCTGGAAGCTTGGAATTGTTTGTGCCTGGTTTGAATGCTCCTCTCTGCTCCTTGGGTCGAAGATATCAATGGTAGAAGAAATGCTCTTTTCATGATGTGTCTGTCAAGGCTGGACATCCTGCTAAGAACTTCAGGCCTTATAGAGACTGGAACCATCCCATTCAAGTATCCCATCCATGCTGCTATCAGTGTGTTGAAGCTCCTGTAGTAATGTGGGGACAAGGTGTTGTTTTGTATTTCCAGGCCTAGAAATTGCACGGAAGCTGTGCTAAGCTGGCATCTCATAAAACTGGGTTGTGGGTGCTGTGAGGGGGTATATCACAGCACCCTGCCTCTTCCTGCAAGAGCTCCTGTCTTATTTGTTCTGTTTGTCATAATGGAAATACCACTAAGTTGCTCATTTTTGCTCATTTGTTTTAAGTACTGTGTTGGGTTCACGTTAATAAAGTCATTGTTAAACACGATGGCAATTTATTTTATCCAAAAGCTGACAGCTCAACATTAACTGCTACAGAACTAGGCAGCAGCGATACTGATCTTTGATCTAAGGCTTGATCTTTGATCTCTGCCGTCTCTTTCCATCCTGCACATCCAGTGCAGACGCAAAGCTGCCCTGGGAGGTGAGGAGAGACTGGGCAGCATTCCCTGCTGGAGACGGAGGGGAAACTCCCCAAAGTGGCTGCCGCAGTGTAGGAAAGTGTGGAGCCGGCAGAGGGAACATTTCTCTGCCGGGCCTGGAAGGGGAGGGCTTGGAGAGGAGGGCTGGCCTTGGCCGGGTGCGTGCTTCTGGTTTTAGTTTCGGCTCTGTGCTCTTGCTGCAGCCATGGCCGAAGTTTGGGAGGGATGTGTAGGGGCTGGCAGCCTGAAGGCCGAGCTCACCTGCCCCATCTGCCTGGAGCTGTACCAGGAGCCGGTGTCGCTGAGCTGCGGCCACAACTTCTGCCGGCCGTGCGGCGAGGAGGCGCCGTATTCGCAGTGCCTCTGGACCTGCCCCACATGCATGGCCGACCTGGCTGTCCCCCTGGAGCTACACAGCAACTTCAAGCTGCGCAACATCGTGGAGGCATTTAAGGCCACCACTTCCAAAGGACAACAGGCTCGAAGAGAAAGCCTGCAGCAGGACGAAGGCACCGAGAAGGGGAAAACAGACGTGGTTCCCTGTGAGCAGTGCCTGGATGGACCCCAGCCAGCTGTGAAAACCTGCCTGATTTGCGAGGTGTCCTTGTGCCAGGCCCACCTGAGCAAACACAACGCCAGGGATTTCCATCAAGAACACATCCTGGTGGAGGTGGGAGCAGGCAAGGCGGAGGAGAGGAGGTGCCGGCATCACGGCAAGCTGCTGGAATGCTACTGCCTGAGGGAGGAGGAGTGCATCTGTGTGCTCTGCTCCATGGCTGGGGCCCATAAGGGCCACGAGGTCATCACCCTGAAGGAGGGACACGACAAAGAGCTGGTAGGGAGCTCTTCCCTGCCCATGAGGACGGGTGAAAGCCGCAGGAAGGGCGGTAGGGCTTCCACAGGGAGTGGGGATGGATGTGAGGGCAGCCCCGGGAAATTTCTCTCCCCCAGCAAGGGACTGGTGCATTGTGCTGGAATTTGCTTTTCATTGCAAGTGGCGGTGTGTTGCCAGAACAGTGTGAACAGCTAAGCAGAGGGAGAAGAGAGGGGAAAGGTATTGGGGGGTGGCCGGGACAAGCGTGGTCAGTCCCTCAGGGTGTGGGGGTCCCTCAGGGCGGTTCCCCTCAGCAGTGAGCTGCAGCCCCGGCGCTGCTAGCCGCCCTCACTACGGTGTTCCCGGCTGGAACTGAGAAGTATTCCTGCAGGGATTAGAAAATCCCTTCCTTCACAGAGCCTCGGGAATGCCATGATGTTGAACTTTGGCTGGGGAAGGGCGTTTCCTCTCTCGAGGTCCTTCCCTTGGGCTCCGTCTGTGTAGCACGGTGGGATCAGGCTCTGCTCCCCAATAACCAGTGACAGGATGAGGGGAGGCAGTCTCAGGTTGTGCCGGGGAGGTTCAGGTTGGACATCGGGAGGAATTTCTTCACTGTTGTTAAACATTGGAAGGGGCTGCCCAGGGAGGTGGGGGAGTCCCATTCCCGGCGGTGTCCAGGGAACGACTGGACGTGGCACTCATTGCTCTGGGCTGCGTGACAAGGTGGGGATTGGTCACAGGTTGAACTCGATGACCGTGAAGGTCTTCTCCAATTTCAGTGATTCTGGGATTCCTCCCTCTGCCACAAATTTTGTGGAGCCAGTGTCCCAGTAGATACAAGAGACATGGGGTCTCCATATTCCTGCCTCTGAGTCCAGCTGCTGTCCTTGAAATGCTCCAGAATCAGTTGAGAGTGAGGGGAGTAAATGCATTCCCTGTGCTCACTCACTGCCTTGCGTTTGAACTATCTGGGCTCTGTTTAGAGCCCAAGCAAAAACCCTGCAGGAACTCAGTGCATGGGCAGGAAATGGCTCCCTCTGGACCTCAGGACAGGTCACAGCCTCCTCAGGAATTAGCAGAAGCATCTTTTGCAGTTGTATGAACTGCAGACTTACTTCCTCCCCCAAGTTACATATCAAAATTTCAGGGCTGCCAAGCAGAAGTGGGATGTGTGAGACAATGGCCATTTCACCAGCTCCACAAACTGGCCATCTGGTATGAAGCTGTTCCTGCTGGGAAGTTCAGTGCTGTCTTTCCTTCTGCCAGGTTAAACTCTCCAGCACCATGACAGACCTGCAGGAATCTAGAAGTGATTTAGTTACTGCCCTAGAAGAGCTTCAGGAAAGAGAGACTCAGATCAAGGTTGGTATCCAGATTATTGCTAATTCATAACATGTTTCCTTCACAGTTCCCCAGCAATAAGTGATTGAAACTATACTGTTAGAAGCAGATGAATAGACAGGGAAAAGAGTGGTTTGAGAAACTGCCAGAAGCCAAGCTTCATTGCAGCCTTCCAGCTCCTCCACAGGAGGAACCAGCTGGGGGATTCCACCCTGTATTGTGGTTGCACAGACCAGGTTGCAGGACTGGCAGCCCACAGACTGTACATAAGATTATGTATTCTTAAAGATTTCTACCTGTTTAATAAAAGAAAAGCAATTTATATCTACAAGTGGGATTTCCAGTGTGTACCAGTAAGCTCTCACATTGGTATTCCATTCAAGAAATTCATCTGACTTGATATATCTGACTTACTATATCAGGATTAATTTTGAAAAGTCTCTGTTGAATCAGATATTCCAAACAAATGTTTATTGTCTGCTTCCTTCTAAAGCCAGCACAAAGGACAGATAGAATCCTAATTGATAGGCAGAGGCACTAAACTGAAGGGTGGAGTTTCTGAGCCAGTGCCCCTTTTTCTCATCTCTTCGTTTAGAACGATACCAAAACACTGACTTCTGAGCTAAAACAGCTGTTTAAAAGTATAAAGGCAGAGCTTGATAAGAAACAGAGGATGATCCTGCGTGACATTCAGTCTTAGGAGGAAGAAAACCTGGCAGTTGTCGCCAACGCAAGGAAGGAAATGGAACAGAAGAGAGACCAGGCTGAGCAGAACCTTCAGGCTTTGCAGATGATAAAAGAGCAACCAGATACTTTCCTCTTCTTCAAAGTAAGCAGTGGCATTCTGCTTTTCTTCATGGATCTGCCTATTTCTCAGCCAGGTGACCTTTCTGAAAATCACACTAATGATATCTCTTTATTTTTATTTTTTCTTTTTTTTTTTTTTTTAAACAATCCTCTTGGTAGGATCTGAAAGAAGTCACAGACAGGTATGTTCCACTTCATAACATTTCTTTTCTTACCTGAAAAAATATGGTATTGATAACTGGGATCAAACCCCATCACCCTATGCTGCAAAGCTGCTCCATAATCCAGCTGAGCCAGAGGGCACCACATCCACAGTATGGATGGAGAGATCCCTGCCTGCTGTTACACTTGTCCCTTTAAATTTCAGTTTCCTGGCTGGATTCTCACAGAAACCACTGGCTTTTATTACCAGAAAACGTTTTTATCAGGGATGAAGCCCCTGGGGTTCAGTTTACAGTAACACTGTCCTGGATGCACATTGGTGACTCCCTCATCTGAGTTCCCAGGGAACAGCCTTTGGCAGCAGAGATAACCAGCTCATTTCCCAGCAAGTCTGACTTGTGGACAAGCTTGGTAGCTAGAAAGATTAATTATTATCTTTAATTTATAACTTACCACTTCCTATGTGATGCCTGGGTGTCAGCTGTAATTCAGTGGTGCAACAGCACACCAACAGTTCCAGATCCAGGAGAGGCTTTGCAGCGGCACTGCAGGCCCCAGCTGCACAAAGGGCAAACATCTACCTGGAATTTGAGGTGTCACCTCGGTAACTTGCACAGATTAAAGCTGAGTTCAAACTCGGGTTGTAAGGAGAGCTTGGAATCACCGTGTGCCTCAGGGCTGCAGCTCGGTCTGTTACTCACAGCTGTGCTGCAAGTCACATCCTAGCCTGTGGGGTAAAGATAATTTTCCAGAAACCTGGACACCATTTAATACGTTTGGCATACTTGTTCTGGCATTGCTACAACAGTAAGAGCCTGCCTGCAGCAAGTCAAGGCTCTGTTCACACACATGGGGATTATCAAAACACCTCCTCCTCTCTCATTATCAGCATTTGAAAGTTCCAGTCGGTCAGCATGAGGCATTGCCAAATAAATAACAGTATGTAGCAGTTGGAATTCAACCTTCACAAAGAGCTGTTAACCCAAAAATTCATGTTGCCAAAGCCCTCTCCTATTTGCAGACTCTGTCCTGGTGAAGAATTTTGTTACCTTTGGATGCTGGATGGTTTTCCTTGGTGCAATGACTCTCTGTGCTCTAGGATTGCAAGTCTGGATCTGGTCACTGAGGATGTGGAGGTGCAGGCAGTGCAGCTGAGTGACAGACTGATGACCCAGTATGAAACCAAGAAAAAGAGTTTTTTGTTGCATCTGGACTGTCTGCTGAACGATGTGTGCGGTGAGCAGCCCCGACCCGCCCCGATGACACCGTGGGAAACAGGGACCTCAATCCTTGGCAGCTCCTTCCACCAGGGTGTGAGGGGCTGATGTGGGGTCGTGAGAGCTGTGGGGAGGGGAGGGGGCAGGTTTCTGTGGATAACAAGGAGGAGGTCTGCTCTTAAGCAGTGCAAGGCCAATTTCTCCTCTCTCAGATGTGGTTTCCTGCTCCCATCAACTTCCCAAGTTCTGCGTGCTCAGTCCCACTTTCAAGAAACATCCTCTGTGTTTGCCCAGCCCCATCCCCTCCTGGTTTATCTCTGACCATGAGGTCCAGGGGGACAGTACCCAACCCTAAACTTGAGTTCATTGCCAGCTTTGTTAACCATTCTTCTATATTTTTTTTTTAGAACAACATCGCCAAGGAAATGAGAAGGAACAGGTAAATCCTTTACTTGTAAAATGTTCCCTGCAAATTTCTCCAGTTGTTCATTTAAGGACTGTATCTCCTGCACTTTCCTACTTCAGTTTTAAGGAGACCTAAGCAGAGTCTCAAAGGCTGTCCTTCACCTTAAAAGAAGGGACTCAGATCTATTCACATCTCTTGTTCTGCTATTAACAAGATGTGATTTGTGTTTTACAAGGCTCTAACATTCAACACCTTTTTTTTTAAAGTGAGGCTTCACCTACTGATACCTCTCCAGAATGTAAGTGTTCAAAAGTACCATTTATTCCTCAGGACTCTGGCTTGGGGCTGTGAGTCTTGCAGAGAAAATCTCCCACCTAACAATGTGATCAGCATTTTGCCTGTCCTTGCCAGAGCGTGTAGCCTCAGGGCAGAAATCTCTGGGAACTCACCAGGCAAATCATTTCTCCTCAGCCTGAGGGACACACTGGGTTTGCTTCAGCACTCAGGAGAACTCTGCTCCTGTTCCAAGGAAAGACCATGGAGGGGTTCCCACCAGCTGGGCAGGAGCTGGAGCAAACCCAGTACCTGAAAAAGTTCCCTAAATAAATCCAAATGCTTCAGAAGATAAGAAAAGTGTGAACAGTATTTCTCTGCAGCTAGCACTAGTCCAGTGCTCAAATCTCATGGGCACAGCAGGGCATCTTTTCTCCAAGCTTTTTAAACTAAATGCTATTTAGAAGTTAACAAAATATTTTTTAATTGTTCTTTTAATTGCTGCAACTGAAGTTCAGTTTGCAAATTATTATCTTCTTAATTCATAAATGAAAAAGAAAATCTTACTTTCTTCACCACTTTTTAACTTTTGGAGCAAATCTAGAGATACATTTTTTAATCAGTGTGTATGTCCATGTATTTCTCATGTGAGCTCAGTCAGTGGCTGTGCTCTACACTGAACCAGACAGTCACTCAAAACAGGTTAGGGAAAAAGAAGGTTTGTTTCTGAGACAAGGCAGTGCTCTACTTGTCAAATGTATCATAAAATATTACTTTATTTTACAGTAAGTGAAACTTTTTCATCTTGTTTATTCCTACTGCAGGAAAGCATTGTTGAGAAGGAACAACATGCACACTTGTCTTAATTTTGATTCTCTTAGGTCCTGATGTAACGGAGATGTGAAAAACAGATGTCAGAACTGAGATGGAAAGAAAAACTGAAATATTATCCAAAATTACCTCTAGTAATGAGAACCTGCCACATGTTTTGATCTCCCCTCCTACCTTGAATTCAAATAAATTCTGTAACACATGAAAATTTTTTTTGTAAGTACTAAGAATTAACACGAACCTAATAAAATCTGCTGCTGCTGCATTGCAAACTGTGGACTCTATTACCTCACGGGTCTAATTATACTTCTGTACAATGATTTGTGGTGACTCTGTTGTCACTATGGGGCTGAATAACCAAATAAATGGCTCTAGACACATGTAAGCAAGGCTGGAGGATTTCATACCATCACCAGGAATTAGTTGTTGAGAGCATTTTTTGTGGGTAGACTCCCAAGAAATCAAGGCTGAAGTTCTCTGTGCTTTTACAGGACCTGTGGCTACAACTCTGTTCTGTCACTTATGATAATCAACACATACCTGATTTCAGGGATTAAAAATAAACACAGCAGTCCATCTCAGATTTAGGGTAACATCTCTTCCTGCTTTAAATGGACTCTCCAAGCTGTGCATGTGCTCAGCCCTGGCTCTGCTGCACCCATCAGTTGTCAGCATTACAGAAAGTGTGCGGCCAAATTTTGGGAGCTGAGCAGTTGCTCAAGGTGACTTTGCAAATATTCCTTCCTGCTCGAAGCCAGCAAGGCACAAAGGGCAGCACAAAGCTGCTCTGAGCCACTCAGATGAGAGAAAAGAATGGAGCCTTTCCTTCAGCACTTTCCTGACCCGGGCTTCTCTCTGGCTGCCAGCTGAAGGAGCTGGGAGCAGCCAGTGCAGGTCAGTGCTGCTGCTGCAGACAGAGTTCCTGCAGTGCTGCAAACCCCTGCAGACAGCAACCCTCCCTCAAACCTGGGATTTGTAACCCTGCTGCAGGCTCACAAAGCTTTTGGATGAAAATGAGAATCTGGGAAGGTGGAATTTTTGAGTTAGATGCTAAGTTGATGGCACAGTTTAATTCCCCCATACATTTGCTTGTTTGCAAAGAGACTCAATGGAATTTGTGACTTTTTTCAATGTTCCATGCTTTAGCCTTGAGGAAGCAAAGAGCTGAAAGACTGGATGAAAGCAGGGCAAGAAAACACATAGAATCCAGCAATTATTTGACTAAGCCTTCTAACACATATCAACACTCTGAAAATTTTATCACCTAATTACTTCTTGACTAGGTGACAACATTGGACTGTGACACAGTGAAAGTGCAGCAATTCTGCACAGATGTTTGTGCAGAACACTCTTTCATGATTACAGTATAATTGTGACATGCATAGTTCTGAGATAAGGACAGAACTTACTTCTTTTTGATATCGTTATGGCTTAAGTATTTTGATTACCTAAGAACTCTGATTCATTGCATCTTTCCTTTTGTATTACGCCCTCTCACCTCCAACCACTCAATTTTTACTTGGCATTTGTCTCATCCTTGATGGAAACCTTTAAAAGCAGCTCATTTAGCTCTTCTTTTTTGGTTTTGCCAAGCACTGAATGATGTGACTGAATTAAATTTAATGCATTTCAAGCATTAGGATGGGCCTCTTCCTGTTACTTAGTCTGATGGGTTTTCTAAGTCAGACCTGCCACACATGGACCTGTGTGTGTGACATTAATTAGAGCCTTCCAAGCCCAGCAGGTCAAGGTGGGAAGGAAGGTTTGTCCCAGCTCTGACAGAATTCACAGATGGGAACCAGGCAGTTCCATCTTCTCCGTCTCCAAACTTAATGCAAGAATGTGCAAATTCAGGCCTGAATCTCAGTGCACTGTGAGCTGTAGAGGGAGGGAAGGGCAAGGAGAGTAAATAACTCATTTTTAACCACTTTCAGCATAACCCAGTCATCCTCCCATGGAGCTGTACCAGCAGGACCA